CAAACATATGGAAGGAGTCTGTTCCAGACTGCATTTGTCTTTTGCCGAAGCTCAGACTCTGGCACAGGATGAGGAACGTTGGAAGCAACTGTCTGACGCGTCAGTCTCCGCGACCCGAAAGGAGAAGCGGCGATGGATACTAAGACTGTCGTCGCTATCATCATCATCGACAGGTTTAACAGTTAATTATAATATAATAGCATATAAATTATGCAAGAATTTTCAATGCTTTCGTCGTAAGTACTGCATGATGAGAGCACTCATTTTGCACCGCCATAACTACGAGTCAGTGTAATCCGATTGAATAAATTCGTGTATGCCTTCGGAGTACTTCAGGCGTTTGAATGCCGGAGAACACCAGACTGATTCGATGATTTCCGTTGGCGATTAGGAAGAAGGAGAGAGTGCGGTGTTGCGGTATAGCCCCTTTTATTGACTTCCACAGTCATACACAATCACAGACTCGTAACGAGAAGAATTTATGGATATAATTCGATAAGTCAGGTGAGACAATCGAACTTATAGGTCACAGATACACACTGATTTGTCGAGAATCTCTCTGCTGTTACCATTACAATTATGTGCTTTACCTTCTGCTGATTAAATCAGTCATTAAATGGATCAAGATACATTACTGATGCATGCAGTGCATGCATAAGATAGCATGGCTATAAACCGCGTAAGCTCCGGAATTTGTACAATCCAGCATCTCGCGTCTTAAGTGTTCACAAGTCCTCGACTTGAAATGAGTAGTTCCAAGGCTTGTTGCAGACAAGAACAAGGGGATGAATTACTCAATCAACTGTAACTAACAGTCGATAATACAAAATATACTGTCGCAATTTCGAAATGACATTTCTGGCAAGTAGACTTGAAAGATTTTTCACTTCTCCTCTCCTTACAAACGACAACACGTCGATACTTCGACATAAAGAAGCCGTTTATACGGAAAAATGTTTTTTATATTCCAAACTTCATCTTCAAAAACCAAAACTGATACTACTTACGGTTCGCATACAAGGCCGGGATAAGAAACATCAACGGAAGCAGCAGCGCGATGATCAAGAACAACTTTAGTCTGCCAGTGCTGACTCTTTGTTGTGGCCGTTGTGAAGACTGGCCAAGTACAGACACTTCTTCAATCGTAGATGACTCGGAATAGTGACGACGGCGAGTGTCAAACTCGGAAGACTTATAAGCGTCATAATTTGATGTGTAGTGATTTCCGGTGACATCTCGCAGACCAACGTCAACGAAGTTTCGTGGGGCACCAATGAAACTTTCTTCGACATGGAAAAGCATGTGAAATACGCGATAGATTAGCCTAAAAACGAACAGAAAACCAAAATAGTTTATAGTTTAGTTTTCTAAAAGATGAAGTGAAAGTCAAAACTTCAAAAAACATGTATTTTCTGTAATAATCTTTACAAAAAAAACATTTATCAAGATTATATAAAAAGCACAGAAAAATTAATGATACCGGTTCGAAACGGCGAATGCACAGCGTAAAGAAAGAAAATACAATTTCTCACTTTACACCACCAGGTCTGTTGCACCTCCATCTTCCTTCTAGACGCCTAGGGAGACCATTTAAACGGGCTACGGTACCATGGTATTTAAGTGTCTGCAGTGGGTAGGATGCAGGATCACGTCTCAAACATGGGTTGAACAAGAGCATGTGCGAATAAAAAACATTACCATGATCCGTAGGCGAAAGAGTGACAAAACTGCTGTCATTATTATAATAAGACTTGGTCATTATTAAGAAAGATTCGTCAATTCGTAAATTTATTATTACTAGGCCATATTCAGGTCATGGCTGAATATGTTTTATTATCAACTCAGTGCAAGTACGAAAATACCAAAAGCTAGAGTGGGTTCACGGACATATGTTCAAATTAGTAATATTACAATACTAACATACACTCTATGTGTTAAAGTGAGAAAACATTACGCACGGTCAGGTGATCTAGAATACGCCGACTACCGTCCTTTTGTGATTCCTTCTCGTGCCTATAACCAACGAACTAGAAAACGTAGCATGTAGCCGTAGCCCTACAGTTTGCTGTTCTAAAACAGTCATTCTTTATATACTGAAGCACTTTTGTATTAACAAAGCGACTTCTGGCGTAGATGTAAAGTGAATATGTATTTTTGCATTCAGCTGTTAGAACACAGTACAATTTGTTCTTAGGGGCAAGAGAAACATTAAAGCAGGCCATAATTGGATGATGTTTAAGCCAAGAACGTTGATGGAAGTGTTTTAACCAACAACCCTAGTAGAACTGTACTGTTGAATTAGCATATTTCAGCTGAATCTTGCTTAAAATGCATATACTGAATACAGGCTATTCAAACAACATCAGTAAATAAATAAGTGTCGACCGAGCCAATATGACGATCGGTTATGAACATGGGACTGCAAACGCTTAGATATCACGGAACTGTTAAGTGCTTCGATGGTCCTCCCCATGACTGAAACGGAACGGTATTGTAATTTGCCCTAACTGGGAACTGACAGCATTAATAACTATTAACGGTGTTCAGGCGAAACCCAAATTTACGTAATAACAAAAAGATAATTAAAATTAAATGAAAAGGCCAAAATTGATTTATGTAACAAGCAAAAAACGATACCTTTTTACAATGGACAGGAACGTGCGAATGCATATTACGAGGGTACTTCTGGAAACAGACAAGAACGAGAAGAATAATGCTTTACCCGAGTATCTGCCTAAAAAACGCGTGACAAGGACACATCGAAATTGACAGATGCAAAAAATGAGTAAAATAACTGTAATTACCCACGAAAAAATAAGCTCTCACAAGCATTTTGTTCTTAGCTGTGGTGTGGAAGGGGGAATAGAAAAATGTTAGCTTGGCCACAAAATATGAAGCCGCCTGTCGCCTGGAGGGGGGTTTGATAATGAATAAATGGAGATATCTCATCGGTTCATTTTTATCATTCCAATATAAGGCGTCAGATTTATCCGCATTTAAAATCACTGACTTGCATACTTGTTTATACCCTAACTCTAAACTCATAATTTTCCACCGTTCGTGGGGAATAACGGTGGCTGAATCATTAGAAGTAGTATCAGGAAGGCAATATCCCACACTGCATAGAGTGAAACACAAACATGAAGAACAGCTCAATCAACAAAAGTTCATATAATTTAGTGACTTCATCATTTGCTAGAGGAGAAGAACAGATGGCAAAAACTGAAAGATACCAACCACAAAGGCTTCTGCGGTGCATTATTGGACTAGGTACATCATATCGACCCCTGTCGATGTTGTAAGACGGGCTAAACACATGCTGTTAGCTTTATATAAATTAGAGATCTAAGTATACCTTCTTGCGTAGGTGTAGTCGGTCCGTCGAGGGCTAAAACATTGCATTTGTTTATAAGAAGCTGATTCATCGCCAAATACGCTAATAGCGCCAAATTCTATCAAAACAACTGTAATATTTAAAATAGAAACACTTTTTAACATTTACGTGTAAGAGTAGCAGACTGTTGAGGAGCAGTACTATACTAATATGGTTGACGTTGAGATATAGCGATTTTAGATGCAAATGCTGACTGTTTGTATGGCAGTCATCTTGACCACACGACAGTGGTTTTTCTAGGTAGCCGAAGGTCTTCGCTTTAAATGTTTTTTTTCCAGCATTCGACATCGCCTTGAACATAGTGGGTCAAGAGAGTAAAGATTTCGTAGCAACCATCCGCTACAGCCTTGAACGTCAGGTCGCACGGTTGGTTGAAGAGTGTACTGCCGCAGCGTACAAAGTTATGTTACAGTTCCTCCTCCATTAGACCTGCACTGAGTGGGCGCTGCTGTAAAGAGATGAGACCTGAACGCTGCCCATATCCTTCCAGATAAAAATCAGATGTAGTTTTTCGACATCAGCTAATATGAATTCGTCCATACAGCTAACGCCGGCGAATTAATTAGACTACCAGAATCACCCACAGTCATTTGGCGCAGAATTGTCCAGTATGGCCATGGGTTGAAAGTGGCAACAAGAATTCACACGTAGTGCAATGACTGTGATACAAAAAACCTAGGAAAGGCAATGGCATGGGAATTACTTGGAGAGAAACTGAACTCTGACTACCAATCAAAAAACTTTCAGAAGACTATCAGCCGTTTGCATAGGTGGAAAGCAGCTGCGACATGTGCCATAGATTGTTCAGAAGGAAACTTTAAAATCAATGAGGAAAGTATCCTTTGAAGATGGCAAAGACACTTTAAAGATGTCATCAATAAACTTTCTACAGGCCTTTAACAATACTTCCCTAATACACTGAGGCATGAAAAGAAGTTTCACGCCGATAAATATGAAAATTGTCATTAAAACAAAAGCGTGACAAAGATGCTAGGGAAGACGAAATCCGATTGAGATAAAAAAAGTCATGAATCGTGATGGCGTTCTGTGGTTCACTCGGATCTAGCAGGTTGGATAGAGTGAAGCATGAAAGCAGAAACAACCCGATGCGATTATACCCATTTCAAAAAAGGGGATCAGAAAGACTGTTGCAATTATTGATGTATCTCTTTGATCAGCCTATCTGAAAAACAGACACCGAGAAATGGTACAGACGCCTCAGAAAAAACAATGCCACTTACCCCGCTATTAAACCTTTGGTCTGTCGGTCTACAGTAGTAATAGTAGAGTCAGTCGCAATACTAAAAAATAAAAGCTTATCTATCTCCTGTCACTTCCTCTGGATTTCAAGTCACTAAGTCACTGTTATAGCATATCTATGTATGTATATACCTTAGCTATGACTTCAAACCTACGAACCGCAGCGAATGACAGCAGGGCCAGAAATAAATCAAACGGTCACTTCACCATAAAAAAAGCCCAAGAGACACGAGCCTAAGCGTCAAAACTGGCGGTAATATTTTTGCGCTGTGTTTTCACGGAACGTGTTTCACGCTGCTTTCATTTATTAGCACCTACCATGTATAACAATTCGAAACGTTGTCTCATGAAGATGTCGACATTCTTTTTGTCTGATATTGCACATATCACTGAGACAAAAGACTGTCTTTATTTCTCTGCGAAAGTTCATACCGATTCATTGTCAAGAAAATATAAGAAGAATCGTGATCCTGGTGCTTGTGCACAAAAAAGTTGGAAAGGCTCTGGTTAAGAAATAACCTATAGAGCAATCATGAATGATCCATCATTACGGCTGAACAATGCCAGTGTTGTCAGAAGCACTGGCCTTCGAACAGGGGTTTTCAGCTTTAGACTTTCCTTGTGCGTATAGTCACTGAATTTGAGCATTCGTCATTTGGTTCCTCCTTTTACCCTTTGGCATGAAATGATATGAACCTCTTAAGATATGTAACCTGCTTTATGGCTATGGTAATAACTACTTAATTTATCAACATATTAAGGAAAAACGAAAAAGTTACTAATCTTTGGAAACAATTTATTACTATCACAAGATGAAACAAGCAACGAAAAATTTAAGTGAATGAGAAAATTACATTGGTTTTACTTACTTGTCTAGGTCAGAAAAATCTACTCGATGGAGGTCGATTCTACTTCCAGGAAGAGTGACATGACGAGAAGTTTCACTTCTAAAAATAATACCGAAGTGAGCAAACAGCACAACGTCGAGAAACCTACTTAAGGGTTGTGGTGGTAGTTTTGTGATGTTTACTGCTTCTTCCCGAAGGGCGTAATTCATCGTGTTGCTGCCTGAAACTTCCGGAATGCATCAAATGATCTTGATCTTCGTAAGTCACGCTCTGCCATTCCAAGGGGGACGTCAGATCAGTCATCATCTTGGCAACATAACAAAAAATGTTATAGGAACGATAAGCTTGAACCTAGAAACGGAGTGATGAGCCAGGAATATCATGAACAAAAATAACTGGCCGCGGTGAAGAAAAACTTACATATAGCACAGCAACTAAAATAGAGGCAAGAAGCAATCGCACGCGAGCCATTGTTTAGATCGACTGACTTTCTCATTAATGAATACATTAATGAAAAATAAGAATAATAAACATCATTAAGGCAGGATAAATAACCACTAATGGTATTAAACAATTTCTGAAGTTCATAGCATAACCAGACAGTAGA